ACTTTGTTACTTTTACTTGAGTAAAGAAGTTTAATCAGTACTTCCACTTTTACCAGAGTATTTTTTAACACAAGTATCTGTACATTTACTCAAGTACGGAAAGTGAGTACTTTTGCCATCTCTGCCGGGGAGTAGCATCTTGGGTCATCTCGATTTGATGACAGTTGCTGAAACGCGACAAACATGTGAGCCAACATGTTTTAAGTCTATGTAACAAACAAGGATAAAACGAGAGTCGATATAGGCAAAGCTTAGGTTGGACACAATTCCTGAGGGAGCGGGGCTTCGGAACAGAGGCAGATAATGCTAGCTTTATGCTGGACAGGTAAGTTAATTCAATACAAAAGTAACGTTTATTTTGCCTTATGTTAGAAACAGCTCAGTGTGATCAAGCAACTACTCTGATCTCCTGGCAGCTGAATTTCCCAAGATATTTTTTTCATGCATTTAATAATTTAATCCATTATTCAAAGGTAATGGGGGTTGAGGTTTTCCCTTTAAACATTAACCCCTTCCATCTTCCTACAGTACAGCAGTTGAGGCTGTACTTTGGGATTGTCTACATATTTACCTCCACCTCAGCTAATCTCTAGAGGTAAACAAGCAACCCAACATGGTGGCGCGCATAACATTCAGGAATTATGTTTTGTTATCATTGAGATATTTTATTGTTTGTCGAGACTGAGGCGAAAAAGGCAGCCTTTAGGGAATTTACTGAATTTACAATAGTCTAATCAGAGCTTACAGATGCAGGAAACAATGACAGATGTTGAGGCTCATCACACTGCTAAGCAGAATCATCACTGGAAATCGTGTGAAAAGGTAGGGTAGCTAGTAAATTTATGAATGTCTGAAGTTTCATGAATATGGACGCGATCTGCTCATGTGCTCTTTGTTATTTGAGGACTGAGCCAGAACTGAACCGCACCGAGCCCTACTGATGAACTAGTACCAGTTTAGTACTGTTCGGTTGTGTCTGGCACGGTCCGGTTCAGTTTTGCGTGCCATTTACACTAAACAGTTACCTTGGTTACCGTGCTCGAACCAATCGGCACGGTTTCAAAAAGGTAGTGTAAATGGGGCTATAGAGGCAAAGGGGTGCTTTACTTAGCTCATTGCTAGATGGTAGTAAATCTTACAAACAAGGGCTTTAAAGTGCTGATAACATGATATTGACATTTTCTAGTATTTGTTGTAAACCAAAACATTAATACTGGTGACCAATGTCATAATTTTAAGGTTGCTCACACAGGGGCAGCCTTAAAAACGTAAAATTGCTATCATTCAGGGGACTCTAGCAATGCGCAGAGACTTGGGTAGAAAATGAGAGTAACATTTATAGGAGAACGATATATAGGAACATCGGTTTTGTTAAGGCCAACTGCTCAAGTTTTCATGGATTAAGGCCTCATTATGCCAGATGGATGGACATTTTGCACAGAAAATGAGCCATCCGTCACAGTATCTGCAACATCTATACTATGGGGGCTTGTTCAGCACAAAGAGCACCACACTCAACGATCAGTATTCATCACTGTTCATCGCCATTTAGCTTTTACTCTGAGCATGGAGCAGCCAACTTGCTTGGACTAGCAATGAAGGGCAGATCTGACAACCCTGGCAGTGAGGAGCGGATGGCGTAGAGAACCATGTTTACCCACATTGTGTTTTCTACTGGGGTTACTGGTCATACTAGCACCACACTCCGGCTCAGAGTGTGACGCTGGGCTAGAGATCCGTTTTTGAGGGTTCCGACCTGACCTGACAACATTCCTCTGCATCACTATCCTTTCCTGAGTCTAAAGTGGCTGATGATTCAAACACATAAACAATTTCGATATCCACTGTAGAAGGTTTAGCTTGCTCCTAAAGTTTGAAGACGTTTCACTTCCCATCCAGAAAGCTTTCTCAATTCATAATGTCTGGAGTAGCGTTGAATTCCAGGCTCATAAAGCAGCCCAACAAAAGACTCGTACTTAGTTACTGTACTTAAGTAAACTTTTTAGGTATCTATACTTTACTCTATTACTTCTTTTTCTTCATACTTCTGACTTCTACTCATTGCATTTTCACACAAGTGTCTGTACTTTCTATTCCTTACATTTTTAAAACAATCGTTACTCGTTACTCTTGGCTTTGGTTTAATGTCCGGTATTATGCCGAAAAATTCATGCCTGCTGAGATATGCATCCCCAGTCACGGGAGCGCTCCTCGCTCTGTACTGCTGCGACTATCGACGAGGGATTAAACGGATTAAAATATGACAAATGAAGCTACTTGTTGTTATATTAATGATATAAAAACGTTTAAATATTCCTCTCGTGGGAAAAAGATTGTGGTTATTTGGCGGATTCATTTATAAAAGTACAGGTGTTACGAACAATATTAAATCTAAAGATTTTGTCCGAGGTACTGCTGATTTATTTGTTGTAGTCTTTTGTTATCCACACAGAACAATAAACAGTGATAGCTGACGTGAGTTTGGAAACTACAAAGCTTTGTCTTCAGTGGAAAATCAAACGCGCATCTGTACAGCACAGCGTTCACAGACCAGTGTGATGCATTCACGAGCGTCAGATAGCTACGGTGCATTCAGGAGCATAGGACATTTCACACTTACAAGGAAAGAGACATAAACATAACAGAACTTAACTCATACAATAATGTATTTATTCAGAAACAGTGTGGGCTTTCTTACATTACTGAATGGTCTATCATTGTATTTCTGTTATTTTTTGATTATGCACATCTGCTAGCTTTTTATTCCAAAAAATCTATAATATTACAGCAGCAAATTAGAAATGTTTTAAAAGCCTGTTTAAAAGCTCCAAATGAGGTTTCAGATCATTCAGCAACAATTACACTGCCATTATTTTACAGGCAGAATTTGCATTTGCTGACCCTTATCCTTTAACTACTGATATCCATCAGTCATACAATTGTCAACTCCTTGTATGACTAGATAGCATGGGATGCAATGTTTGGCAATTTCTGTTTCCTTTTTTTTTTCTTTTTCAAATTCAATGTATAACATTAATGCATAAATACCTCATTTTATTTCAGTGTAAAATTCTGTTTAAAGTAACAGATCATTAAAATGTCTCCGGACCTTTACTGGTTGATGATTTTCTTTGTTCGGAACCTGCTGATTTTTAATTGGTCACCCCTGGTTTAATGTTAATGAATATTTATTTCACCTCATGTGCACCATCCAATGCAGATCATTAGCGCCATCCACATGTAGTGAAAACTAGTGTAATGGATGAGTCATATAACACACTCATTGGTTAGCTGAAGGAAATCATCAGAAGCAAGAAGGTGTTCTTCAAACTGCAAACATGAATTGTCTATGCCATGCTACAATGTCAGATTCAGAAAAAGATGTTGAAATGTCTGAAAGGTCGGACACAGGTGAGAGGGTATCGGGAGATGGAGACCAACAAGACCTCCCTCATCCTTGGCCCTATCTCAAAGAAAAATTGAGTAGTCGAAAAATTAAGTTTTCAACTAATATAGTAGCATCTGGGTGTTTTTTTTAAAGGTTACTTTTTACTTTTATTCTTTAAAGCTACAGTGTGTAATAATTACAGGGATATACAGTCAGAAATCTAATA